GAATAACTTACTAGACTCCAGTCCAGCTGGCTGTGGCTGATTGCAGAAGCTGGTGTCACTTAGTTAACTCCTGCACCGCAAAACCAACCACTGAGTACGTGCAGCAGTAACTGTATTGCTTTCAGTTAGCTGTTGCTGACAGAACTCTAATGCTCTGGTCTGTTAAGTAGGGGAGAGTGAAGCAGCTATATTTTATATGCATAAACTGAAATGGAGTTTATATTAACAGCTCCCATGAAGCTTGTATTGCTATGAGAGCAAAATTGGGGAATGTTGAAGTGGCTTGTACTTGCTTGGGAAAAGACACTGATTAGCATTTTCTACTTCTGCCCAAGACACTTCTTTCCCTCTTGTTAGGATGACAGTATTTATTGCTTTTAATGTCTTTCAATTCTGTTAAAACACATTTTTTCACGAGAAAGCGTGGTTAATGGCATGTAAAGAGCTCAAAATTCCAAAGAACATTGTCCAAAAATGATTGGTGTGACTAAGGGCAACAAACAGACTCAAAGCTCTAAATAAGTACTGGGTGTTACTTGTGTAGTCTGTATGTGTTGCTTTGGCCAGTGATGTTACATGTGGGCTTGCTTGACAAAATAGGTAAAATAGCTATCTTACGAGGTTGTGTCTATGTTTAGCCTGTACCATCACCTGTTGAACCCCTACCAGCCAGGGAGGGGAATCAGGGAAAAAGGAGAGCAGACCTGTGGGTAGAAGTGCAGCAGATTTGATGAGAACACCACCAATACCAACAGAAATATGCTGAGCCAAATGAATATGCAGTTGTCAGTCTACTGGAGAGCAGTCTTCAGAAGCCAGAGGAGAAGCAGGAGGAACCCTAGCAGGAGCCCCACAGGAACTCCCCTTCCTCAGCCAACCTTCCCCTTTTATAATGACCATGACATTATGGTATGGGCTATACCTGTAACTAACTCAGGTCATTTTGATGTTAGCCATTGATTGAAAAAGGCATGAAACTGAAGGAGTGTACAGAGGTTTGTGTCCCTTTTGAATTCTGCAGAGGAAAGTCTGTCCCAGAAGAAAATGGAAGGCTTCCTGCCAAGACAGAAATTAGAAAATGGATTATTAAAAACCGTGAGGAAAACTTTCAGAGAGTAACATTAAACAGAACTGCCAGAGTTGAGCACTGTAGGCTAGATGAATTCCTAGCTTATGCTTCCACAATTCAATGAGTTGGGTTGACTGAGCATTGTGGTCTTTTCTAATTCAAGAGCCATAAGACACCAACTGATGCTAGTGCTGATGAACGCAGTTCATACTGAAGCACTTACTTGATGGTACAAATACACAGTGAAGTGTTTAAAGAGCTGCCAACACAGTGTGTTAGGGCTGAGAGCAAGCTAGCTTCGGGATTAGTCTAAATTGTTGTGCGAATGAGCAGAAAAATCATTAATGTGTTCAATTCTTTTCTTATAGTCTGAATTTGAGTCAGAACTGAAATCTGCTGGAGAGAAGCTTATAGTAGTTGATTTCTCTGCTGCATGGTGTGGACCATGCAGAATTATCAAGCCCTTTTTCCACGTAAGTAGCCTTTGTGTCTTCGTTGGCAACTGTATTAAAGTATATACAAATGTTTTAGTGCTGCTTGACAGTAACATGGAGGAAACTTCCTTTCGCCGTATGTGATTGCTAGTTTTTTCTGGAAAAGGGAGAAGTCACAGAAATAACTACTTTGAGACTATCAAGTTAAATATACTGATGTTTGACACATCTGGGAGCTCAAATGTGATTTGACTGGTGTGCTAATGCTTACGTGCATCTCAGGTCTGTAGGTACCTAACAGTTGCATTGCCTCAAGAGGTGGGATATGGAGTGGAGTGCTTATCCTTCTGTTCACAGTTATTGTAATCACTCCAGCTGTGTTTAGGTGGCAATATTATCTCCTGGTAAAGTATGAGATAGGCTGTAGCATCTTTCAGTGAGCAGCTGAAGGCTATGTCTTATGATATTTGAGTCTTCGCTGTGGGGAGTATGTTTCATTAAGTTTCAACAGACTCTTCCAAGTATTGGAGCAGAAAATAAAATCTTTGCTCTGGTCAGTAAAATAGCTGCTTTAAGGTAACAAGGTAGGTTTAACTGGGAAGGGTAAGCAGCACCAGCTTTACATTAATGTGTCTATTAAAAGAAAGTTTTCCTGGAACACTAACTGCATTTTCTTATTTCATTCTAGAGTTTGAGTGAGAAGTATGGTGATGTGGTGTTCATCGAAATTGATGTGGATGATGCCCAGGTATGGTCTGGGGTGATGCTGAGGGAGGGCAGCTAATGAGTTCCACGCAAGTGACAATCAGAAACATTTTTTTTAAAAAAAGTCTGTGCAGATACTGAGAGATTAGTTCAGCTTTAAGAAGCAGAGATAGAGGTTTTACACTTAGACTGGCAAGAGTGATTCTTTTTTTTAGAGGACACCTGAACAAAACAAACTGCCTTGGTTATCTGCACACTTGAAGCCTGATGGCATGTGTTGGGTAACTTGGGAGTACTGATCCTCTGCTTTGGGAGGGAGTGTTAGTCTAAGGCCTTAAGCTACTTTGATGCAGTCTTCCCTAAAAACCTTGGCTCACGACTGTCTGGTGATCTGTGTGGTCTCTCCACTGCTTCTGGCAGTGTTTCCTTTCATGTCTGAAGTGCAACAGATGTCTGCTGCATAGCAGTTCCAGCAGTGTTGAATAGGTACTTGAACAATGATGGTTTGAAACACAAGAGTTGCCATAGGGCTTTTAAGCCTTAAAAATAGTCATCTCTGTTTTGATGCAGAGGTCTGGTTTTTGCAAACACAGAGTACAGGTGTAGTAAATGCCTTTGCTATTGCATGAATTAAATGGTGAAGGGAGGATCTTTCAGGCTTGCTTCAGGGAGATGTTAACACTATGCTGGTTTTGCTAGTGATGGACTACTAGAGGTGCTTTTGCTTTATTTTGGGCAATAATGTCTTTGTCCAGTCACCTAAACAAAAGGCAACTGGTGGGTCCTAAATTTAACATCTTTCACGCATGCACAGCTGAAGATTGTTTTCTGTCTTTTCCAGGACGTTGCTACACACTGTGATGTGAAATGCATGCCCACATTCCAGTTCTATAAGAATGGACAGAAGGTAGGCTCTGCTCTTTTGGAACCAGAGCAGGCAAGCTAAAACACTTGAAAGAAGGTTGGGGATGTTAGACTACGTAGCCTGCTTTCTCTTGATAATGTATCTGTGGCACCACTGGCATTAAGACATTCCTGAGTGAGCAAGTTGATCTTTGTGCTGCAGCAAATGTGACATGGACCAGCAGTTAAGTGATGAGGCAAACCCTGTTGTTCACAGGTAGAGAACTGAGTGTTACAGGTCAGTCTTGCAGGCAGAGCTTCATGGGAGATTAGTGGGGTTAAATGTAAGGGTTGAGACTGCTAGTCTGTCTGTGTAGCACCCTACTTTTTACTGATCTTGGTTAGTATTTGTTCTCTGTATGCAGATCACGCTGAAGCAGAGACATGACTATGTGCCTAGGGAATCCCACCCAAATGGAAGTCTAATGCTGTTGAATATACATACAGCTGAAACAACTGCTGGGATGCTTTTACATAGAGGCTGTGTAACCTGTGAAGTGGAGGTCCTGTCCCTGTTGGAGGACTGAACAGACTTCTTGTGCCTGCTCTGCCAAGGGGTGGATAAGATCACAGAACCACAGAATCACACAGATCTCAAAAGATCATCTAGTCCAACCCCACTATCAGAGCAGGATCACCTAGAGCAGGTCACACAGGAACACATCCAGGCAGGTTTTGAATGTCTTCAGAGAAGGAGACTCCACAACCTCTCTGGGCAGCCTGTTCCAGGGCTCTGTCACCCTCACAGGGAAAAAGTTTTCCCTTATCTTAATGTGGAACCTCCTGTGCTCCAGCTTGCACCCGTTGCCCCTTGTCCTGTCATTGGACATCACCGAGAAGAGCCCGGCTCCATCCTCCTGACACTCGCCCTTTTCGTATCTATAAACTCCTCAGTCTTCTCTTCTCCAAGCTCAAGAGACCCAGCTCCCTCAGCCTTTCATCATCAGGGAGATGTTCCACCCCCTTAATCACCTTTGTGGCTCTGCGCTGGGCTCTTTCAAGCGGTTCCCTGTCGTTCTTGGACTGAGGGGCCCATAACTGGACACACTATTCCAGAGGCGGTCTCACCAGGGCAGAGTAGAGGAGGAGGAGAACCTCTCTTGACCTACTGACCACAGCCCTTCTAATACACCCCAGGATGCCTTTGGCCTTCTTGGCCACGAGGGCACCTTGCTGGCTCATGGCTGTCCTGCTGTCCACCGGGACCCCCAGGTCCCGTTCCCCTACGCTGCTCTCTAGCAGCTAAGTCCCCAGCCTATACTGGTACATGGGGTTGTTCTTTCCCAGATGCAAGACTTTACACCTTGTTGTTGCCCTTGTTGTATTTCATTAAATTTCTCCCTGCCCAGCTCTCCAGCCTGCCCCAGGTGTCGCTGAATGGCAGCACAGCCTTCTGGTGTGTCAGCCACTCCTCCCAGTTTTGTCATGCACAACATGCTCTGACAGCATAGTGGACTGCTTCTGCAGTTGTGAATGGCTGGCTGAACTAAAGAATTGCTGAGCTGCATGTGTTCTCAGGCTTTTAGTTTGCCAAGCAAACTGAAGTTTGGTTTTTCTAAAGTAAAACAGTGCCTGGATGGAAGTTTCATGGCTGAAGGCAATAGAATTGCACTTTGAAAAATGAGTATCAGACCTTCAGTTCAATTCACTGTGGAGCCAAGTCATTACTAATAGTGAACCTTCGACAGTTTCCTCAGGGTAAACTTACGCAGCTTCACAATGTAATTGGAAGAATTATGATGATGTGACAGTGTGTGAAGGTGATAGGCTTAAACCTGTTGTGTGGCTTTTTATTTTGGGTGACTTGGGCAGTTCTCTGGACACATGAGTATCAAGGTGGCATGTAATGTAGTCTGCTCTGTACCTTGTGCCCCTGTAGGTACTGGAAGACAGAGCCACTGGTTTTGACACATAAATGTTGCCTTTATCTTTCTGTTGTGTAAGTTGCAACAAGGACAGTTCTCACAGGAGAAGCGAGGCTCAGGGGTAGGTCATTTGGAGTGGTCCTTCTAGAATTTGATTGGCCAGGGTCCTGAGCAACTCTGAGCTGCCTGTGCTGCACAGTGACCTCCAGAGTCTTCAAGCCTGTATTTGAGTCTTACAGAGCATTGGTTCAGGATCAGTTGTCTTGTCCCTTGCTTTATGCATAGAAGGCTCTAGCAGTGGTAGTGATTCTGGATAGATGCTTTTCTCAATTTTTGTGGCTTGAGTGGGAGGTGAAGAGATGAACATCTGCAAAATACTCCCTGTTTTGGGGGTGAAAAAAAATCTTAAGTTGTAGCAGAGTTGAACAGGTGTGTGAGTGTCTGGATGCTATGCAACTAATGTTATGAAGCATTGAATGCAGCAGTTCTAAAAATCAATCTTTCTTTACAGGTGGAGGAGTTCTCTGGGGCCAATAAAGAGAAGCTGGAAGAGACCATTAAAAGTCTAGTCTAATCTCCAGCCATGGAGACTTTGAAGCCTGACTGCTTCGGCTAAATTATAGCCTGTAACTTTTCTACTTCAAAAAAAATCTAAACAAGCTAGCTAGGTTAAGTGGTGGAAACTCTCCTCTTGATCATGTAAATGAGTACAATAAAGTGTAAATGCTTCATTTTTGGAGATTGCCCTGTGTTTGAATGAAAATGTGAGGAATTTAATAATGTCATTATAAGGTGTCAGGTTCTGTGTTAAAGGAGTACTGTCTGGATACACTCTTTTCAGACACAACCTGGTGTATTGCTGTGGGTGAGAAATTGTGTTGCATGGGATAGCAATAACAGTTGCTTTAGGAGAAGTCTACTGCCACCTTACTTGGGTGGTAGTCACCAGGCTATGATCTGTAGAGTGGCAGTCTGTCTTGCAGATACAGAAAGGGGAGTTTGGGAGTAGTAAAAAAGAGGGTGGATCAATTATTACTTTTGTTACCCCATTTTAGCTACAGATTCTTTTAAAATTTGTCAAGCTTCACTTTAGACTTCAAAGCTAGGACTTGGCTGTGTATTATAAACCAGAAAAAAATACCGGTCCATGGTAGGACTTGGAACTGCTGCATTTTTGCCTTTCCAGTTTTGCCTTGTCACTGGTGCACCTTCTGGTTCTAGTAGTAGCAAAGTATGCTTAGTCTTTGAGTTGGGCTGCTTTGTTCCTAGGCAATAGTCTGGAACAGATGACTGAAGAGCTAAAACTTGTAGTGTCTTAAGCCCAAGGTAATTTATATATATTTTTTTGTCATCTTCATTTGACTGCAATATTGCATTTGAACATGCTGGACAGTAAACTAGACTCTGCAGTCCTCCAAACGTGCATCGGGTTGTCTAGGTTAATGCTGACCTGCCAGCCTCTGTGTATCATACAACTACTCTTCCCAGAGTTACCAAGAAGAACTGTGTTTTTCTACCATATCAAAGTGGCTTTCTTTCTGGCTTGGGTGTTGTCCTGGGTAAGAATCCAGTAAATAAGGAAGCAGAGCTGTAGCTAGCAGCTATCCCTAATGCTGTGGTTAGGGTGAGGTGAGCTGTGCTGCTCATTGAGTATCACTGATGAAAAGGCAAGACTTCTCCTGCTCTGTATGCAGACAATGTGGAATGAGTGAGCTGCTTGTCTTTGTGGTAGGGAGCTCATGTGTGACTCAGCCTTATGCTCATTTCACAAGCATGCATGAATTTCCTGGCTCTTGAGGACTGGGGGCCTTCAACAGCTTGCTGCATATGTTCCCTATTTGAAACAAGACTTCTATAGTCCAAGAAGTGACCACACCCTTTATTTATAGAGGATGAGCCATCAAGGATCTTGGATGTAAGCTCTGGGCTGTGATTATGTGATAAGAAGGACATGCAAAGTGTTTTCTGTGCAGCTGTGGCTATTTGATGGAGAGGAGTGCAGCTGTGTTTAAAGGATGGTTCACAGGTAAGTAGGAAACCACCACCCGAAGTGGTGCCGTGGATGGACTTGTGGGGAAGAGTAACATGAAGCGAGAGCAAGGATGCACCATTAACATTACACCATCTGTAAACAAGCATTGCTTTTAGAAGCAGTTGCTGGGAGGCCTGGTTGTTCCTTCTGGGCAGTAGTTAAGAGCAAGAAAAGTTTAAAAAAATCCGTGGTGGAAAGTCTAGGTGAAGTTCAATAGGAACACCTAACATCCACCTGCATCCTAAAGAAATAAGGAGGATGCGAAGATGTACTGCAACATTATTTCTGCTGAGGTGAAGCCAGATGAGGCTGTTGCCTACTACAGCTAGGAAATGCTGGTCATGCATTGAGTTTGACTTAACGCTTTGTTTACTCTGTTAATAAGATGCCACTCCACAGTAGCTTTGAAGGATCCAGGTGACAAAAGTGCCTGGAAATTCAAGATGGTATTGGGAGCAATCAGAAAGGCTGGGATAATTCTTGTGCTGAAACTGGGAGTGCAAAGCAGTTCTTAGAAGTGCAATGAGTCTCTGGCTTCCTGTGCTGCTTTATCTTCCTGTTCTGAGAACTGGCATGTAGGCAGAGTGATGAAAATAGCTTTCATGGCCTTATTTGACAGGAGATGTTACTTTAAGGCTTGGCTCTCTGAGGAATAGACAGTGAGGATCTGAAAGCAAACTTTCCCTTTAAAGGAACCAGCAAGCGTATTCTCTTTGAATGTGTAGTTATGCCAGAATCTGAGTGTTTGAAGTTGGTCCTTGTGGTGGATGGAAAGTAAAGCCTAATGGCTGTACCTAGCTGAGATGCAAGGAGCCTCTGTTCCTACAGCAACAGTGCCCCTGCTGGGTGGAGAGAGTACCAGTTCAAGATGGGAACTGGACAAGTCTTCCAACCAGCAAGAACATGGGGGTTTGTCCTTTAACATAACCTAGATATAGCAAATAAAGGTTTTGCCCTAAATGGAGGGGGTACAAGTAACCTTGCTGAAAACCTGGGCTGCATGCCCTGCCATGTAGGTGTGAAGTAATACCCTGGAGAGTTAGTTCAGTGGGTTCATTTTTTTGTTTTTCATGTGAAGGAGTGAGACCAGTATTGCCACACACCAGACAGCAGTGCAGAGGAGTCACTCCTTTGTTGAACTGATCTGCTGTTGGCATGAACAGAACTGAGTGCTTTGACCCAGTGGTCTGAAAAGATGCCCATAAGAGGGAAGTGGTAGATGGCCAACAGGCTTGAATGTTTGGAAGAAACTCTATGTACATGGCAGAGAAGAAACAACACAATACAACTTTCTTCTGGAAGTAAGGGCTTCAGGAAGAACTGCTGCCCTCAGGTAATGACTGCAGTCTTTCATTTGGCTGGGATCTGTGCCTTGCTGTCAAACTGGTGGAGCAGGATGTTTTTGTCTGCAGGCCTGTTACACAGCTTGCTTTCTTAGGGTGGGCTGGCCAACAGGAGGAGAAGTACTTCCTTGAGCACAGTAATCGGAACATGTGGCTGGAATAACTAGGCTCAATGAGAGAGGGCTGACTGTTGTGAAAGGGGGTGCCAAGGGGTCACAAGTGAGTGGGCAGGGGAAATGTGTGTGATCAGACTGCAATGAAATAGTGATGCTCCTTAACTCCATCCGTGTATTCTGAAACTGCTGTTGTGCACTTGGGGAAGGATTCTCTTAACCACCTGCACATCTCCTCTGCATCTTCTCTTGCAGCAGTCTAGCCGAACTTCCAACTCCAGCTAACCATCTGTTTATCATTTCCTTGACATGAAGTTAGACTTGGAATCCCCCCTTGAATGATTCCAATAAGAGTATTTGTAATTACTCTAAATTCCTACTCTTCATTAATCTGAACTAGCTGAATCTAGCAAGGACAAAAACCAACTTGGATTGTTTTAACAATGCCAAGAAACTGGCATAGCAGCTCCTCTGTGCTGTGCTCTGACATGCAACTTTCAGCCCCCCCAAGGAACTGTCTTGAGGAATATGCTGGTGAAATCTTGGCCAGACTAACTCTGTAGTGCTGGCCCCTGACCCTTGGTGAGATGTGGGAGAGACAGACTGGTGGGTTGACCTTTGCTAGCTGCCAGGTTCCCACCAAGCCCCTCCTATCACTTCCTGTCCTCAGCAGGACAGAGGAAGAAAATTACAGAAAAGCTTGTGGCTGGAGAGAAGGACAGAGGGATCACTCAGCAATTAGTCACAGGCAAAACAGACTCAACTTGGAGAAGTGGATTTACTGCAATTAAACAGAATGGGATAATAAGAAATAAGAACAAACCTGTAAACACATTCCCCTACCTCTCCTTTATTTCCAGGACAAATTTCACTCCTGGCTCTTCCACCTCCCCACCCCTGGGTGGCACAGGGGGATGGGGGTTATGGTCAGTTCATAACACTTCATCTCTGCTGCTCCTTCCTCCCCATCCTCTTCCCCATGTTCCAGTGGAGGGGTCTTTATGGGCTGCAGATGGACATCTGCTGCACTGTGGACCTCCATGGGCAAGGGGACAGCCTATGTCACCATGGTCTTCACCACAGGTTGCAGGGGAATATGTGCTCCTCGCCCTCCGTCACTGACCTTGGTGTCTGCAGGGTGGTTTTTCTCACATACTCTTGTTCCTCTCTCCCTGCTGCTGCTGTGTAGGTTGGGGGGGGCGGGGTTTACGCTTTCTCAAATGTGTTCTTGCAAATGGCTCAGCTTTGGCCAGCAGTAGCTCCTTCTTGGAGCTGGCTGTTGCTGGCTCTGTCTGATGTGGTGGCAGCTTCTAGTGTCTCCTCACAGAAGCCACCCCTACAGCGCCCCCCTCCCCCCCCAAACCTTCACATGTGAACTTAATACACAGACATGCGGACACAGGCGATCAGGGCTGAGAGGGCACCGAGCGTAGGGGCCTGCTCTTCATCTGAATCAGTAACTGTACACCAACTCTGCCCCAGCTGCTGGAACTCTTATCTGTAGGTCCTCCTCAGTCATGACGCTGAGCACAACGTGGAAGAGTCTCATAAGGAGCCCTGGGGAAGCAGTCGGCACTGTATGTAGTTTAGCTGAGCAGAGGTTGAACCATACTGTGGCATCCTTATTTTCAATGGTGGTTTCATGCAGGTAAGAAGCATATGCAGCCATATGGCTCTGGATTTGGTAAGGATCAACTACATGAGTTTGAGGAACTTGAAAAAATCTTGCGGAGATGTCAGGGGAGCACATCCACATGAAATGCTCTTTTTTCCTCCTCTGGAGAGAGAAAGCTGAGATTGTCCAGGTGGGTAGATAGAGAAGGTGAAGAATGCATGGGAGCTGCGTGAAGTCTGCCTCCTTCAGCTGACAAAGACAAATTTGTGACATGCAAATCTCCACAAGGTGGCAGTGGCTGTCTGTTATATGTATATTTGTACACACACTGGCTGTTTCCCCTCTGACAGCACTGGGGTGATGGTAGTATCTCTAGGTAATGGGCTAGAAGAGGATGCATGGTGGGTGGGTTCCTGCTATCCACGTGGCACCATCTGCCTGGCCCTCATAAACTGGAGCATCTGGGATGAAGTGGATGTGGCAGAGGTGTGAACAGACTAGGGAGGTGGAGAAGCCAGGTATTGGGTCTAACTGCATCTGTGGAGGAAGATGTTTAGACCAGGCTTGGGTCATCCCCCCTCCATTTGAGTCAGTCCATGACACTTCCTCGGGGAAGCAATCAAGTCTGTTTTT